TGACACCACAACAACTGGCAAACAGGCGGGCTGCTGCCCTCCTTTTTGCCACAGTCGTTGTGGTGTTTTCCCCCCTTAGGCGTTTCAAGGCCCTACATTCAAAAACACAGCAATTTATCTATGAAGTGAATAAACGGAGGCTTGCCGAAAGCGGTCCAGATCCGTGCGACGTACTTAACTGGCAAACAGAACGTGGACATTTATCTAGAGAAGAGGCCTAGACGACCTAAAACTACACGGACGCAGATTTAGTGCATGGTTGCGGGTTGGGGGGTAACGGCGATTGTCGAAGGGAACACTGGAACCACACCGTATAGCGAGGGCCTGTGGTTAGAAGAGGATTTCCCCACCTATAAACACGATTCGCTGTAGGCTCCTCCGAGACATATTAATTCGTATGCACGGGGGCTGATACCTGCCCAGCGCAGGTAAGTTGGAAAACGATTATTCTTTCCGCACGTTAACTTTGTTTGATAGGGAACTAAACCCTAAACCTACATCTCGGCTCATCATACCATTGTACGTGCACAAGGTTAATTCAGGAGGGAGAAGCCACCGCTAGGCCGCCGCTTGAAGTAATGCCCACTGGATTACATGGTACTGCATTAGAAATTCAAATATCAATAACTTAACATCCAGTGGCTAGCCAGGCAAATTAAGAGCGGCGAGCGGCAACCGAACTTACGGGGCATTTGGCATGCGGTAACCTCGATTGTTTCCATATCGGCAACTGCATGCAGCTGGTGAAAACTGCGGTAGCCGAACACTGTTGATTCATCATCCTCAATGCTCAGTAAGTTCTGCTGGTGGGGGCAAGCATGGTACGGTGCGGTTGCCTCCTTCAGCGGTAGAGCGGTGACTTTTTTGGCACGTAAGCACGGTGCCGCGGAAACGACGGCGAGGTCTTATCACGTGCTGCATCGTGGGCTAGGAACTTCAGGAAAGGTTCTTCAGCTGTGCATCTGGCGATGCTCGCTTTTCGCTGTTGCCTGCTTCGTGATTTCGCCTAAACAACGCAGAAAAAAGGATGCGCTAAGAAAATTGGAGATCCAACGCGCTCGGTCCCTTTCTACGTCGACACTCGGGGTTTAAGAGATTTATATGCTTAAGCAGTTCATTCTTCGGGATTCGCCCCTCGCAGTGAAGCAGATGATAGAGGCGCTGGTACTGACTAGAATCGCTTCAGAACAGTCAGCCTTCTTAACGCCTGTAGGTCATTTCCTCCACACATTTTTTTGACTGTTGAATTTGAACACGCTGAAATTCCAACTCTACGCTCATGTAAAGTTGAGAGTTTGTTTTCCAAGCGGTCTTGCTGGGAATGGCCCTGAACTCAGGCCATTCAAAAATCTCTGCATCCCTACACTAGGGTGCATGAGCGAGTGAGAAGGCAATTTGCACTTGCAGCGCGCGATGTGTTTCAATTGGGGGAGTTCGCTTGTGGTTCTTCGAAAGGGAGTAGCTCTCGCAGCCAATTGCCGAACTTCGCCTGGAGTTCTTGAAGCGGGCGAAGCTACCGCAGTTGAGTTGTCGGGTTCTCGAGATTTAGAACACTCTGCACGGGTCTGGCAACGGTATTCCCCCTTGATGCTCAGTAGCAAGACACATTTGGCACATTGCCTCATCTCTCCTGATTTTTTCTTGCTCTTGAGAGGGCGCAGCGGTCAATTTCAGCACTTCGCCTTCTGCATGGCAGAGATTCTTGCATACACACGAACGGAGAACGCAGGTCCTTCCACCGCCTCACGAGAAGGTGCTACGCAGGATGAATGTGGTCAGTGTCCGCTGAGACTTTCCCAGTTTGGTTGAGTCGTCGCTGTTGTATTTGCTGCCACCACTGGTCTTGGGTAGCTGCTCACGGCGGTCCCCAGGGGAGATCACGCACTCTCCCCACAGGATTCATGAAATAAACGGTTCTAAACACATACTCCCTATCGAAAATAAAGGGAATTTTAGGACTCTTCGAAAATTTCCCCCCCTTTCCAATGTTGCATTTCCCCAAACGATCCGCCGTTGCACTGCGTTGGATCAAACGAGACCGTTTGCTTCTCTCGTGTCCAATAGGAGTGAGACACGAGGGAATATACGAACACCCCCGGTGTCCTTATATTTCCTCCTATTTACTTATTACTAAAGTTCGGTTGGAGACTTATCCAGTTCTATCTCCTAAAAATTAAAAGAACTGCACTGCCCGTTCTTCCGTTCTTGCTGGGCGCCCGTAGGCGGTCTTGGGAACAGGACCACACTGAAAATAGGAATCCCACACGGAAGCTCGCCCCCATCCCTAGTATTAAATCTTATTCTGTATCACTGCTGACTGTTAAATCTATCATTTAGACATATGTAAAATGTTCCGCTCCATGCACCGAGGCAAGGCAGTGGCACCGCCGTGCTGGGTGCCGCTAACATGGAGGCTCCAAAAGAGGCATGCAGTATAACACCTGCCCCGACACGGAACACTGCCTGAAAAATAGCTCGAGAAAGCAGCAGTTTTTTTTCTTGTGCAGGAACATAATATTAACTACTATCTCCACGATGAATGGTTCCGTGCCGTTTGCTCCCTTTGCACATGTTGGGGCGTCCAGTGGAGTCGGGCATCGGCCTCACGTACCGATTTCCGGCATGGATGCACATCCGCTAAAGAATGGCTTTCTTATTCACAGTGGGAGCTTCACTGCAAGGAGGAACAACTTCAAACTCACTAGAGCGACTTTTGCAGTCGTTGTTCTGCTCACTGTCACCGCTGCTATGGGATTCTTGATTATCCAGTGTTTCCGAGCACTGACGTCCGGCAGAAGCACAGAGAATCACGGAGTAACATCCCGGAATCTAGCCGAGAAGGGGGGAACTTCTTGCTCCGTGAGTCACCGTGCAGAGAGAACTGGACAAACTGTAGTATGGGGGGCTTTGCGATTGTCCATTGCCGCCTTCGGTAGATTCGCTTTGAGCCTGGGGGTCACCCTACGCGTTTCGCACGATGCAAAGGAGAGCTCCAAATAGATGGTATGCCTTTCAGCTCCTGCGTGGGAGTGCCGTATATGCGTAGACACAGTGCGACAAGAAAAACGCTACGCACCGAACACCGTTACAAGTATGGACTGCGCATGCTGCTGTGGACGCCCTCGGCAACAGTGCTATCTGGTCTCGGCACTTTCAACAATCCATAATGCGTGAGAAGCCCTCTCGCGTGTGGCTTGCACCATTTCAGCTACGGAAATGAGCATCCGTTTGCTCTGCGAAGATGCCATACCTGCCACCGGTGGCAGCACACCCTTTTCGTTAGTTGGTTTGGTATTTTCTGAATTAGATTTGTATCCCGCGATATTCCATAGTTTAGTTGGCGGCTTGGTAGTTCAGGGATTGTGGCGTTCTGGCTAGTGGTGTGCGTTGAGTAGGCAAAGGAATGCTGCTGGTTTCGCAGCATGACTCGCACAACCGCACGGGTATTTCGTTGGGCAGTGGCTCCATGTGAACCTAGCTAGGGTGCCCCCGCGTCTCTGCAGGGTACTGGTGTGATTGTGATAAGCAATCTCTACTCTACAATAGATGCTCTGCAGGAAGTGAAGCATTGCATTCCTCCGGTACCTTGTGAACGTAGGGATGGATGGTGAACATTTCCGGCCAAGGCTGTCAAGCACTTAGCAGTGGCAAGGGGAGACGCTTTGCAGTCAGAAACTGCGTGATCTTCACGCTCAGGAGCTTAGCTGCATGCCGCACTAGGTGTATGCGAGAGCGTCTCAAGGCGCCGGCTTTAGGCAGCCTTGAGCCGCAGAAAAGTATGGAGGGGACTATCAGTTGTACTTCACAACCGGCTCCCGCTAGCCGAGATGATACACACGCCCATTCATGAGCCCACCACCATCATCTGCGGCGATCAAATAATACTCACTTATGATTTCATGAGTTCGCGCTTAACCCAAATTTACAGTATTTACAGGGCTGTTCTCTGTGTGGCGCCACACGGACACTCAATGAGCATGAACAATGCGTTGAAGATTTCTTGGTTGACTATCCAAGCGTGCAGGGACAGGAGGCGACTTTGCGCACGGGTGACCTTAGAAGTGGATCCAAACGTTGTCTAGGCCTAGCACTGAGCCCTCTCCTGTACGTGGCCAAGTATCCGTATGGACTTGCGCGTGCCCACGTGCGTTAATGGTGGGGGTTGCGTGAAACTCGATGTCTCCGTGACCTGCACAACTTGAAGTGTTCACTGTTGTACAGGGGGTGCGCTGGCGTTCACGCCTGTGGGCGGCGTTGCGAGGGCATGGATATTGATGAGTGGGTTGCAGCGCGTGCATGTGCCCTTCCATAGAAGCCGAGGTGCAGTGGGAACGTTCTGATAGCGCATCCCTGCAAACGGCAAACATTGGTTAGGCGTCGTGCAGTCACGCTGCCTGAGCTGTGGAAGCGTTCCGCTTGCTTTCCTAAACCTGCGGTTTCGCTGGCTGGCGTTTGCTGCATTGCTCGGCCTGGAGGTCAGACGCGATACACCGGAGGCTGTAGATATGTTGGGCGGGAGATGCACTAGCGTGAGAGGAAATGACGTGTGCTGAGGTTGTCGCTGCGGACGTGGATGGAAGCAGGCTTGTCGTAGCAACTATTTTTAGCGTGGGCGGTTGAGAGCAGGCATTGGCGAGGAGTGGGTAGTTTGGGCAATGGTATGGGTAGGGCAGGCATGGGCTTTTTGTTTAGAGGTGTATCGTGCGGCGCTTTTGCTTGGCATGGCTGGAATTCAAAAGCACGTACGTGCTTGGTGGGAGGGGTGGAGAGGGCGTTGTGCGTGGATGAATACTGGTGCGTGGGTCGCAGTGGGGGAATGTGTGCACTTGGGAGGAAGCAGGGGTGGAGTGAGAAGGTTCTGATAGCGTATATGTGGAGAGGCCTGTCATGGGTTGGGCGTTTTTCAGGGAGGTCGGTTGCGGTGCGGAGGCGATCCGGCTGGTTTGCTACAGGCGTCTTTCGGGTAGAGGACATTTGAGCGGTTGTTGGGTTTGAGGAGCATGTCCACTGCGAAGGGGGTGGCTGTAGATATGTGGAGGGGAAGTGCACTTGTGGGTGAGGAAGAGACGTGTGCTGAGGTTGTCGCTGCGGACATGGATGGAAGCAGGCTTGTCGTAGTAACTATTTGTGAGCGTGGGCGGTCGAGAGCAGGCATTGACGAGGAGTGGGTAGTTTGGGCAATGGTATGGGTAGGGCAGGCTTGGGTTTTGTGTTTAGAGGTGGAGCGTGCGGCGCTTCTGGTTGGCATGGTTGGAGTTCAGAAGCACGTGCGTGCTTGGTGGGAGGGGTGGAAAGGGCGTTGCGCGTGGATAAATATTGGTGAGTAGGTTGCAGTGCGGGAATGTGTGCACTTGGGAGGAAGCAGGGGTGGGGTGAGAAGGTTCTGATAGCGTATATGTGGAAAGGCCTGTCATGGGTTGGGCGTTTTTCAGGGAGATTGGTTGCGGTGCGGAGGCGATCCGGCAGGTTTGCTACAGGCGGCTTTTGGGTAGAGGACATTTGAGCGGTTGTTGGGTTTGAGGAGCAGGTCTTTTGCGAAGGGGGTGGCTGTAGGTATGTTGACCGGGCAAGTGCACTTGCGGATGAGGAAGAGACGTTTGCTGAGGTTGTTGCTGCGGACGTGGATGGAAGCAGGCTTGTCGTAGCAACTATTTTTAGCGTGGGCTGTTGAGAGCAGGCATTGGCGAGGAGTGGGTAGTTTGTGCAATGGTATGGGTAGGGCGGGCTGTGGTTTTGTGTTTAGAGGTGTATCGTGCTGCTCTTGTGCTTGGCATGGTTGGAATTCAGAAGCACGTGCGTGCTTGGTGGGAGGGGTGGGAAGGGCGTTGTGCGTGGATGAATATTGGTGAGTAGGTTGCAGCGCGGGGACTTGGGAGGAAGCAGGGGTGGAGTGAGAAGGTTCTGATAGCGTATATGTGAAGAGGATTACCCTGCGTTGGGCGATTTTCAGGGAGGTTGGTTGCGGCGCGGAGGCGATCCGGCTGGTTTGCTACAGGCGTCTTTTGGGTAGAGGAGATTTGAGCGGTTGTTGGGTTTGAGGAGCATGTCTACTGCAATGGGGTGGCTGTGGATATGCTGAGCTGGAGATGCACTTGTGGATGAGGAAGAGACGGTTGCTGAGGTTGTTGCTGCGGACGTGGATGGAAGCAGGCTTGTCTTACTAACTATTGTGAGCGTGGGCGGTTGAGAGCAGGCATTGACGAGGAGTGGGTAGTTTGGGCAATGGTATGGTTAGGGCAGGC